TGTAAGCACCCACGTCAGCATTTTCTAGGCCCATATGTCTGCAGTGTTGATAGGTCAAACTGATGATGAGTTATTACTAACAGGACCGTTGGCGATAAAATCCATGGCAGACCTACATGGAAGAAGCCACATCAACAACTTCTGGCCCCACCTGTTAGAATCTTTGACTGGTCAAACCCGTGGACTGATTACCGGTGACAGGATCATCATCGCCAAAAAGATCTTAGGTGATAGATTGGGCTATCATACGTGACTTTCTGGGCCATCACCGAAAATGGCCATTGATGACATTTCAGGCCGTCACCTAAAATGCAATCTCGCATGACAAAAAAGTGGTATTGTCAAAAATTTAATTTCTATGGCGGCGCTTCGGTGATGGTGGGGTGACGACCGAAAAACGTCACCAGCGTATTTTCTGTGACGAAAATGGGTTATATGTGATACAAGTGAAGCGTCACAAAACAGAGCAAAGTTTGTAGTGCAGGACAAAAGCACCATAACCTGTTAACGGGCCAAAAGCGCCATGGGTTGTCAATAGGCTGAAAGGGGTTAACGGTACAAACCTCATGGGTTGCAAATGGGCCGAAATTAAACTATGGTTGCATACGGACTGAAAGGCATGAGGGCTAGAAATGAGCCAAAATGCATCACGAGCCGTAATGGGCTGAAAGCACTGCCGGCCATAAATGGGTTATAAATATCAAGTGTCATTAAGGGGCCGAAAGTGACCCCTGTCCGTAAATGGTTTCAAACATACCACAAGGCTTTAACAGGCCAAAAGACACGCGAGGTAGTAAATGGTCCAAAGACACGCCGAGACATTAACAAGCCGAAATACATCCCATGTCATAAATGTCCCAAATGATACCCCTGGCCATCAATGGCTCGAAAGAGACATTGGTTCACAAATGGGCCAAGGACACAACATGTCGTTAATAGTCCGAAAGACACATTGAGCCCTAAATGGTTCAAGTGACACCACATGCCATTAACAGGCGGAAAGACACCTCGGGCCATAAATGGGCCGAAGGACACCATGGGCTATAAACAGGCCAAAAGGCACATCGGGCCGCGTATGGACAAAGGACACAATGCGACATTAACAGGCCAAAAGAGGTAATGGACCGTAAATGGGCCCAATTACACCATGGGCCTTTAATGACATGTAATTATCAATGGGGCATAATAATTAGTGATGAATGACTCACGTTCCTGTAATGGGCTGAATCCCCATAGGTTCTAATGGGTCATGTAGACCCGAGCCATAAATGGGCTATATGCAAGCAGGTCATTAGAAGGCCTATCATGGGCTAGCCTGCCAACTTTTGACTACGTCAAGTGGGCCTCAAGTAGGCCTTTGACTGAGCCAACATTTTTAACAAAACGTGCATTGTTGTGTTGTGTCGCATGTCTATATGGCATAGGCGCGCATCATCCATTGGATGGGTGATACTTGTTCCAATGAGGAGCAGACACATGATCCCATTGGTGAATGAGAAGACTACAAGTGGAGGATCATCAATGGTCGATGTTGTTAACAGGTGTCGGATCTGGAACCTACACTTGATAGCTTAACGACGACCTGTTACAAGGGTTGCCACGTGTTGGATACCCTTAATAAAACACTTCTATGACACGCTATTTTCTATCATGGAAGTGCACACTTCCATGGACAAAAGTGATCATTGTCATGTAACACATCTACGACATCACATGTACGACTAACTTGATTCTACCATAAAACTGTCACAGATGACATGGGTGACAGAAAACATGACATACTATCACAAATGGGTATCATCATGGATGTGTCTTTTTTTTGTTGTGTCGCGTGCCTCGTCCTCTTCATATCTAGATCTGGATGTTCATCCTTCCTTCGTCATCCACGAGACCATATTAGTCCTTGTTGTTGTGGTTAGACCCATTCCTTCACATTCAGTGTCCGTGGGTGGATACTATTTCTCGTCCTTCTTTCGATGTGCTAACAGTGCAACGACGTTCAAAAGTAATGGTCTTTATTATTTTTATTTTATAATGTTGCTTGGGGTCGTCCCTTTCCTAATTACCCAAGACAACACATGACATTGGGCACTGATGGATTAATTTGTAGGCGCGTGGTGACCAAAAAACATCTGACACATATAAACCATGTGTTGGAGTGTGGACATGCCTCTACAAATAACTATGGCAGCCACTCACACAAATATCTTTCATCCCCAAAGAGTTCTCCTCCAGCATGACTCATACCTCCAATGTGCCACCCCCCTCTCGAAAACATCACACCCACTTCTATCTTCCCCACCATCCTCCAAAGTATCGACCCTCCTTTGTTTCATTGTTGAAACACCGCCGGCGCCTTCCCTGTCCTCCATGTATCTAGATCTGGTACCGCAGGTAATCGGTAATGGCCAGATCTGGTCTCCACGTTGTCCCCACATTTAGATCTGGTCTCATCGGCAATAGAGGATACCTTCATCCTCTCGATTTATAGATTTGGTCTTCAGGTCATCCCCATGTTCAGATCTGGTCTCATCGACAACAGGGGATGCCTTCATCCTCTCGATGCCTAGATCTAGGTGCTCGTTCTTCTCCCCATCACCACTGTGGTCAGGTTCAAGCATCTTTCTACCATTGTTCACGCTATCTAATTCAGTCTCTCATTCTTCATTGGTTCCATGGTCAGATCTGATCTCTTGTCATTCCATGAGCAAGTCCGGTCTTCAATCCTTCCTTCGTTGTCTTGGCGGACAGATGTGGAAAGAACGCCGACAATCAATGGTATGTTTATATATTTGCTTTGTTCTTATTCTAGTAATGTTTGCTTCAAAGTTTTGGCCATTCCATTCTTTCTTCTCCATGTGGGGGGCAGGACAGATAGATAGCTTGGGCAAATTACGAAGGATCCCCACGATAAGCATTTGCCATGAAAATTGTCCATTACTTTCTTATTTCTTGATATAGCTCCACTAGTGCCTCCAGGAACAATTCAACACATGAAAAGTACCCTCCTTCACATTATCTTTTTGTTGCGGGGAACCCTCCCTCACATTATCAACCTCATTTATCCTTTCTTGACCACAGGCAATGCATAGTTTCAGTGCAAGAAAAAGATTATCGAGGAGGATTATGGCTAACCTATCACATCTCCCTTCTATTTTGCCGACCATCCTCCAAAGTATCGACCCTTCCTTGTTGCGTTGGTGAAACACCGTCAACGTGTTCCTTATCCTCCATGTATCTAGAACTAGGTTCGCAATCAACCACTAATGGCCAGATCCGGTCTCCATGTCATCCCCACATTTAGATTTGGTCCCATCAAGAACAGAGGATGCATTCATCCTCTCGATGGCTAGATCTAGGTGGCCGCCCTTCTCCCCATCACTTTTGTGGTCATGTTCAAGCATCTTTCTACCATTATTCACACTATGTGATCCGGTCTCTCATTCTTCCTTCGTTCCATGGTTAGATCTGATCTTTCATCATCCCTTTCATCCCATTGCCAACTCCAATCTTCCATCCTTCCTTTGTTGTCCTGCGAACATATGTGGAAACGACACCGACATTCAATGGTATATTTATACATTGACTTTATTCTTATTATGTAACATTGGCTTGATAGCCTGACGCTGAGCCGTCGCCTTTCTTTCTTCTCCATGTGGGAGCCACGACGACCAGATAGTCTGGGCAAATTACGAAGGATCCCGGTGATAAGCACTTGCCGTGAAAAATTGTTCACTTCTTTCCTATTTCTTGCTATAGCTTCACCACTGCCTCGAGGAACAATGCAACACATGAAAAGTACCCTCCTTCACGTTATCTTTTTTTTGCGGGGAACCCTCCCTCGCATTATCAACCTCATTTATCCTTTCTTGACCACAGGCAATGCATAGTTTAAGTACAAGAAAAAGATTATCGATGAGGATTATGGCTAACAAGCTATCACATCTCCCTTCTATTTTGCCGACCATCCTCCAAAGTATCGATCCTGCCTTGTTGCGTTGGTGAAACATCGTCAACGTGTTCCTTATCCTCCATGTATCAAGATCTAGTATCGCAATCAGTCACTAATGGCCAGATCTGGGCTCCATATCATCCCCGCATTTAGATTTGGTCCCATCGAGAACAGAGGATGCATTCATCCTCTCGATGGCTGGATCTAGGTGCCCGCCCTTCTCCCCATCACATTTGTGGTCATGTTCAAGCATCTTTCTACCATTGTTCATGCTATCTGATCCGGTCTCTCATTCTTCCTCCGTTCCATGGTCAGATCTGATCTCTCATCACCCCTTTCATCCCATTGCTAGCTCCGATCTTCCATCCTTCTTTTGTTGTCTTGCGAACATATGTGGAAACGACACCGACAATCAATGGTATATTTATACATTGACTTTATTCTTATTATGTAACGCTGGCTTGATAGCCTGCCGCTGAGTCATCCCCTTTCTTTCTTCTCCATGTGGGAGCCACGTCGGCCAGATAGCCTGGGCAAATTACGAAGGATCCTGACGATAAGCACTTGCCATGGAAAATTGTTCATTGCTTTCCTATTTCTTGCTATAGCTCCACCACTGCCTCGAGGAACAATGCAACACATGGCAGGTACCCCCTCACATTATCAACCTCATTTATCCTTTGTGGAGCACACTCTATGGCAAACAAGCCATGGAGATCCAAACGAGTGTTAGGAGGAGAGGCCCCACAAAAAAAATCGAGAAACAATTGCCAAGATAAGCCAGGGCTCCACGGGGGAAAGCGAAGGAAAGCAATATCGGCACTTTCCCCCCTAAATTACAGCGCTCTTCATCCCACGTCGAAGGATCTCATCAGGTCGTAGCACACATCTCTCTCCCTGCCCCGACCCCGATATATTCCCCCCAAATCCCTTCCTCCGTCCGCCTTGTCTCGCTCTCTCGTTCTCTGCGTGACGACCCCCCTCCCCTCCTCGATATTCATCTTCCTCCCGCACGCAGAATTAGATCAGGGCGAGCGGGGCAGGGAGGATGGAGAACAGCAGCGGCCGGGAGGTGCTTCCGAACGGAGGAGGAGCCGGGGGGATGGGCAACGGCGCGGCGAACGGGAGGGCGGTGCAGGCGCTGCAGCGGAGCTTCGCCGAGGTGCAGGCGATCCTGGAGAAGAACCGGATTCTGATCCAGGAGATCACCCAGAACCAGGAGTCGCTCGAGGCCGGTGGCCTCAGCCGCAACGTCGCCCTCATCCGCGAGCTCAACAGCAACATAGCCCGCGTCGTCGACCTCTACAACGCCCTCTCCTGCTCCTTCTCCAGCTCCCTCACCAACGGCTCCGCCCCCGCTGCCTCCGACGCCTCCAAGGGGGCCTACAAGAGGCCGCGCCCTGCCCAGTAGAAGAGACAGACCGTCAGCGCCATCTTCTCCTCTGTTCAGATTTAGATTTCTGCTGTGGCCATCCATGGCCAGGGCTCAGCGGCAGGCAGATTTGAGACTTCCTTTTTTCTTTTTCTTCGTTTTCTTCTTTGTTTTAGCGTTGAGCTGAGAGATATGGACATGGTCAGCTTGTTGTCAGAGATGAAACAAAGATGCAGGCAGTAGTGTGTGGCTGTATCAGTATGTATCTGTGTTTGTGTTGTGTGTTGTATGGCCTACTGGCGCTGGTGTCTTTCTTTCAGGCCAGATCGGATGGAATGATTGCTTTGTCCTGTGAAGTCGGTTGGTGAGAGGAGAGAGAAGCGATCCTGCTACTGCTACTGCTCATCATCAGGGATCAAGTACAAGAATCTGATCCATGATGGATCTCCTTCACACATCTTCTTTTTCATCGTGTGCTTTTATTTGGATCTTCACAACTGACTAATATTAACTCCATAGGATGGATTTTCCCCCCAGGAAGCAAGCACTTCAATCCCTGCAGAACTTATTTGTTCCGACCGTCCATTCTCAAACATGGAAATTCTCCGTGTTCTAGTTCGATTTCTTCAAAGAAAATTTCCGTGCTTCGAGCAGCTCAATATCCATGGAACACATGGAAATAACCCACATCACAAAGAATTCAACTCGCATACACTTTCGCAAATCTTGCGGGTGCCAAACAGTTCAATATCCATAGAAACATGGAAAATCCCTCCAAACCTTTCGATTCCACTAGAAACATGGAAATTCCGCACACTCAGATAGTTCAGTTCCCATAGAAACAAGAAGTACTCCTCTGAAGCGATGACGATGCTTATAGTCGTCACTAGGTGATCTATGGATCTGGATGTAATTTTTATTATTTCTGATATTCGTTGTACTGTCATAATTGATGATGAATAGATGAAAAGTTTACTGAAAGAAAAAACTCCTCTAAGAAGCGGGTTTCTTGTAGACCTGAAAACGTCTCCCTTTTGGAGCAAAAACATGCCGTTCTTGTGGTAACGCACACATGAACAATCTTTCCACGCAAAGGCATCACAAGGATGGGAGCAGAGAGCGTGACTCAATTGTCATCACTCAAGCCGAGGGGATGGATGGATGACAGCAGAGCACAGCCAAAAGTTTTCGTCAGGCACGCCCGTTTCAAGGCGAGCCGAGGACGCGCCCGGTTGTCGCTGGCCCATAAAAAACCAAAAAAAAAAGCTGCCCGGGGTTTCTCCTACTCACTTAACGCCATCTAAAGAAAAGCCTGCAATTAACGCCATCTAAGAAACGTCTGCATTTACGCAGTGCCGGGTGCCCCGGGCGGGTGGTCCAGCCAGCCCCCCGCCCCCGGGCCGGTGTGGCGTGAGAGGCCGCGTGATCGCGGCGTCTGACCGCGCACGGCTTTTTGTTCGGATATCGGCCGGGAGCCCGCGCCGCGACCTCGATCGACTGCCACGTACTGCCGTGTGGGGCGGCGTACGAGACGTGCAGTGCGCAAGCGTTTTGCCGCACGCTATCACGGCCTGTGTTGCGTGTTTGGCATCGCGGTGGATCACGAGATGGCTTTCTGTTGTTTCCGGCCGAGATCTGACGGATGAAAACGTGATGCGCGTGAAGGGCTAGGGGTCTTTGGTTGTCTTCATCTTTTTTTTTTCTGCTTTGCATATTTGTCCTAGTTGGAAAGTGGTGAAGGAAATGCCCTCGGATCGTGCACCGGGGCTGGACGGTTTCATTGGGATCTTCTTCCAGAAAGCTTGGGCTATTGTCAAGGTGGACGTCATTGCGGCCATGCACAAGATATTCCTCAACAATGGGCGTGGATTTGGAAGGCTTAACCAGACACTGATCATGCTGATTCCTAAAAAGCCGGAGGCCTGCCAGATTAATGATTTCAGGCGATATGCCTGGTACACAACATTCCAAAGATGGCTTCCAAATTGGTGGCATCTCAACTACGGCCGTGCATGGGTGAGTTGGTTCAGGTGAATCAATCGACATTCATTAAGGGAAGGAACATTCATGACAACTTCCTGCTTGTGAGGCAATTGGCAAGGAAACTTCACAAAAGGAGAACGAAGGGAGTGATGCTCAAGTTGGATATCTCGCGCGCTTTCGACTCTCTTTCTTGGCCGTTCCTTTTTGAAGTGCTGCGGGCAAAGGGCTTCTCTAGCACCTGGAGATCATGGATATCCACCCTACTAATGACAACAAGCTCGCGTGTGGTTGTCAATGGTTGTGCGGGCAGGAATTTCATGCATGCTTGCGGGCTAAGGTAGGGAGACTCAATATCCCCCCTTCTCTTTGTGATAGCGATGGACGTCCTCACAACCTTGGTGATCAAAGCCCAAGAGATGAATGTTGTTAGCAAGATGCCGGGATGCACGCCGATGCAGAGACTCTCGCTGTACGTAGATGATGTTGTTATGTTCATAAGGCCATGGAGATCGGACCTCTGGTTTTTCCAGGAAGCTCTCAGTATCTTCGGGGAGGCCTCGGGTCTCAGGGTCAACTTCACTAAGTCATCAGCAGTTTTAATCAGATCGGATGAGGCCGATGAGGAGCTGGTACGACAGGCGTTGTCGTGGAAGCTGGAGCAGTTCCCCATCAAGTACCTGGGGCTGAAACTGGGTATTAAGCAGCTTACAAGATAGGATTGGCAACCCATTGTGGACAACGTGCTAAAACTAATGCCAGGATGGCAGCGAGGCCTTGTTACCAGGCCAGGTCGCTTAATCCTTGTTAATCAGGTCATGCGCGCGCAGCCCACACATCACTTGATCATGGCAGATGCACCAAAGTGGGCCCTGGAGAAGGTTGACAAGGGTTGCCGCACGTTCTTCTGGGCTAGGACAGAGGAGATACAGGGAGGCAAATGCGCGGTGGCTTGGCAGAGGGTGTGCCGATCCAAAGAGCTGGGGCTTTCTTTCCGCACTATTATGGATAGTCAAATAATGGGAAAAATTGAGGCCTAGGAGTCATGGATCTTTACAAACAGGGACTCGCTTTAAGATTAAGGTGGAAATGGCTGAAGCGGACCGACAACGAGCAACCTGGGCAAGGACTGAATTTCAACGCGGACAAGCAGGTGGAATTGGCTTTTGACAACTTGGTTAAGTGGAATGTTGGAAATGGAACACAAGTGCTGTTTCGAAGGGATCGTTGGGTCAATGTTTCGAGCATCAGAGAGATTGCACCATTGCTAGTCAGCATGGTCAGGAAACAAGTAGTGAACTGGAGGAAGGTCAACGAAGCTCTACATCTCCATGCATGAACTCAGGATATCATGGGAGACATGACCACTGAGGAGTTACTTTAGTTCATCGTAATGTGGGAGATAATGATACAAATGGAGCTTATACCAGACACAGAGGATACTCCGATCTAGCAATGGGAGGCAAGCGACACATATTCAGCAAAATCTGCATACAAGATGATGTGTCGAGGGGGCATCTGGTTCCAATGTGCTTCGACGGTTTGGCGAGTTGGGCTCCCCTCACGTGCAAAATCTTCATGTGGCTTGCTTTACAACATAGGATATGGACATCAGACCGAAGGCACAGACACGGATTGCAAGAGCAAAGCTCTCCTTGCTTTCTTTGTGAGCAGGAGGAAGACACGGTGGAACACATTCTCATGCAATGTGTTTATGCAGGACAAGTATGGTTCCTTTGCTTTAGGAGATTGGGCATTGATCTTGAGCTCACGCCCACCACTGATCATAGCTTCGGAGACTGGTGGATGGACTCAAGGAAGTGCATACACAAGGGAAACCGCAAAGGATTCGATGCTCTTTGCACGTCTGTCTGCTGGAACATATGGAAGTAGAGGAACCATAGAGTGTTCCGCAACACCACCACTGCCACCGAATGGGAAGTAGCCGATATAATCCATAGTGAATTCATGCTTTGGGCAGCGGCGCGAAGAAGAGGAGAACAAAATGGTATAGAGTAGTAGCCTAGTGTGTGTGGAGTGGAGGGTGTGGTGATAGCCGAGTGTGGCTGTGCACATTGGTATTATCTCTTGTAATTAACTCTCTCTCTCTTCTATAAATCTAAGGTATGCAATTTACGTACTCTCAAAAAAAAAAGGTTGGTTGAGAAAAATGCTTGCAAAAAGTCATTATCTGCACATCGTTGAGGTTGCCTGATAAAAAAATATTTTGGAGTACTGGTTTTTTTCTTTGCCATGACTTCCACGAATGTCATTCCCTAATGAACCTTGGCAAGCACTTAAAACATTTGTCATTCTTTGCCACCATTTTTTTTGAATTTTTTTTTCCAGATTTTACTGTTCATTGTGGTATCATAAGAGCTAAAACTCGGATGGGGACTTTCCAACACTTTTGTCATGAATGCAAATGACATTGACATATAGGTGATGTTTTTCTAAACATTTTGGTATCTTATTTGCATTTTTCTGATTTAGTATGAGTGTTATGAAGTTTTCAAAGTGACGGTCAAATAGTCAAAGGGCAAAAGCACAAGAGGAGCAAAGTGACTTGGATAGAACCGATGGCTTTTGAAAATTAGGGGTAAAACAGCCGAGTGGGACACAACTAGGGGCATAAAACTAATTATCCCTAAATGCAACACATGTTGTCTGGTAACCTCCTTTTAGAGTGGCAAACTTACAAGTTCACTCGCAGGCAATGTTGGAAATATGAGCAATTTATCGTATGATTTAATTAGCAGAAACAATAGATTAAAAATGACTAAAATGAAAAGGATAAGAAAAGTCATGCAATCTAACAAAGAGTATGCAAATATCATCTGTAGTTGTGAACTTGAACATAACATGTCTAGTGCAAACGCTTGAACAAGAAATTCTAGCATGATCTTCAATAGAAGATACGTGAATACATACTGAGCAGTAGAGGAAGCACTAGCGTTGGTGCTGATGTCGTCGAAGAGGTTGTCGACGCCGGGGAAGAAGTCATCATTGGGGAAGTGATCGTCGGTGTCTGTGGCGTTCGCGATGAAGAGTTCTTATCA